GACCGAGCCAGTGCTTTCACTAGTTTAGCATTTTCTATTCACTGCGCGTTCAATGGCGTAGGCTCATTTTGCATATTTATTTTATGCACATGCATTCAATGGGGTTTCTGCAAGTTTCTATACATTTAATCGATTTAACATTTAATTATTTATTTTGCTAATGTCTCTTTTTTTCTTGCCTTCTTGTGTGTGCCAAAAAAAAGCTTTTAAACTCATCCTGTTCACAATTTGTCCTCCATAGGTGCACCCAATCAGGGCGTACCATCATGGGTGCACTTTCAAAGATACTTGAATGTGTTGATTTATGTTGCTTATTTTTCCACAGAATTATAGAAGTATTCCAATGTTTAAGCTTTTGAGTCTTTATATTCCTTTTATTCTTTTTTATTTTGCTGAATGTCTTAAGCACATTGTTGTACTTTACTTACACCGAACACGTTTTAGACAATGCATGCAATGCTTACATTGAGTTAAACATTTAAAATGGAATATACATACTTGTTTCTATTAAGTAGGAACAGTTTGGTATATTTAGAAACTTTGATATCTTAGCTCCAAGTTAAAATATGTTGGTTTGGTCATTCCAAGCACACACTTGAAAAGTGATGGCCACAAAAACGTTTTAATTCAATGTTTTTGTAGACTGCTTTGTTTTTATGCACAGCATCTTTAAAACCTGTTTTTTGTAATTGTTTCAATAATAAAAGGGGAAATTATTTGAAATGAAGCCTTTGGCCTTTTTTGTTTTTTAAAGTGAAATGTAATAATTGTCCTGTACTTTGATGACATTACTACTTTATCTTACTCTTACAATCACATGTGTTTTATATCAATAAACCACATTTTTTCCTCCCATTATCACAGGAAAAAACTATGGCAGTAGAAAATATGATGTCATATAAACGGCAGGTTAAATAACACGAACAAGACTTACAACACATGTCTTCATTATAGTTACACAAATAAGATTAGATAAGGGAGTGTTTTGAGATAATTCATTTGTTCTTAACCTGGTATACAGACATGAACTATTTTGTATATAGATATCCTTTTGTTAACATTAGATAAAATGTCTCCACCACATATTTAGTTTCACGACTAAGCAGCAGAGGGCAGTACTGACCATTTTCAATCCTTGGATGTCAGTGTTTAAGATGACATCCAAGTATTTAAGCCAGCCATTACATTAAATAGCAATGTTCAAAGAAGGGTTTGTGATTGTTAAAGCCAACACATAAACAACAAGCCTGGGTCTATTGTTAAATACGGTTTTTCTTCTTTTGCAGATTGTTTGCTTGTTAAACTAAGAAAACATAAAGAAAATTCTGAGTTGTGATCACACAGCTGGCTTTTCTGTCGCTGCAGTGCACACTGGCATGTTAAGGCTGTGGGTATTCACCTCTGTTAAATGGTTAAAAGTCAAGGTTGATTGTAAATATGTGAGAAATTCTTGCTGACAGTCTTGACACAACACAATCCCAATGCCTTCTTCCCAGAACATTTCATTTCAAGTCCATTGGCTTCGTGTGTATATATTTGATTTATGTACAGAGATTGCATTGCTGTAGCGGATATTCACGACCACTCCCAAAGTCAAGTGGTCCAACATCTCTGCTGTTTGGCGGAAGATATGAAGCAGCTGGGAGGCAGATCCACAGCTAAGAACTTTACAGGGTAAAGGAAGGAAATAATGTTTCCCCACAGAAAGAGCTGCAATCTATTCACTCTTAAAGGGCGGATATTTACATTTAAAAGAACCACAACCCAGATCCCTCATTTAGAATAAGTACTGTGGGACTAATAAAGGATTTCTGATTTTGATTTCTGAAGTATATTTATACATAGCAAATCAACTACACACATTCAGCAATTCCTGGGTAAGATGAATAGGCCTTGACACATGCGGCAGTCTAAATGATTGCTATCGAAAAAAAGTATTATTATTCAAAATGTTCCTGCAGGTAAGTTTTATAAAATACATCTAAGATCTCCTAGGTCTTAAAAGATTAAATATAAAAGGATTTAATAAATGTTGTTTGTATCATGCAGTGTCAAAATCTTCACTTCAGGATGCTTACAGTACACTTGCTTTGACATGTCTATGAATGTGTTGATTTGGCAGATAGAGTGAGCAAAAGTGAAAGAGAAGTTCTGTTTTTTTGAAAATTGAGTTATGATCTTGTGTTGTTCGTAAACTGTGTTTTTTTTTTCCTTGTGCGCTGCAAGGGTCTGGGGACAGAAGGTGTCGTCGGGGCCGCGCCTCCCTACACACAGATCACGCAGAATGCGTAGGGCCTCAAGTTGGCCAGGGGCAGCCCTGGGTGTCGTATGCTGCACAGTCTTTAAAGCCCCTAAGGCAAATGAGTAATGTGTGATATTGAGCAATATACACAAAACTTGGTTGACATGTTAAATGACTTCTGTAGAATTTCAGAACTACTTGACAACACCTGTCATCAAATTATGAGTCAGCGCCCATGATGTAAGTTACTTTAGTTTATACAGTATGAGTTTTTTCCCGCAGCACAGCAGTTAACATAAACTGTATTGACAACATGTTCACTATCAGCCAAAATAAGAGTGTTGTTAACCCATCTCTGGACCCACTTAATCAGATTGTTAGAACTATCTGAATCTCTAGCAACTGTTTCTGAATAACAGTGTCTGACTACATGAATTATACACTTCCTTTTGACATTGTTAATGTACATCAGAGAATATTGCACAAATCATGTTTAATTTATCACATTAGTCCAGTCAAAGTTAACAGATCAAAATGTAAAGCCACTATACGTGTGTAGTATTAAAATACTAAAAGCGGTTGCATCAAAAAAGACAATGTGTTGGACATGTATAACCCCATCCTCCAACCATAGTTTAATGAATGGGCTCAAAGAAACACATTTTCCTTCTGGATTTTTGTTAAAAGACAAATCATTTGAAAGATGCTTTAATATCTTATCTTGTACATATCTTGTATAATATCAACGTTCACACAAAGTGGCTTTAAAAGCATAATACATAATGTAAGAAAATTAAGTTTACAAGAGCAGCATTAGTAATACAGTGAGTATACTTATATGTCAAAAACAATGTGTGCGTGTGTGTGTGTGTGTGTGTGTGTGTGTGTGTGTGTGTGTGTGTGTGTGTGTGTGTGTGTGTGTGTGTGTACGGTATATGTTGTTACACACAGTGACAACTCAGAACGACAGGTCTTAACAGGTTCATATTAACAGGCCTGTTTATCTGATTGGAAAGCATCACATTGACCTAGTTGTTGACCTCCGCAGAGACGTAAACTCTTGATGAGTTCCTCAGCTGCACTCTTGCCTTCTGGTTCCCTTGTAAACAGAGTGATCCTTTCACCCTGTCCCACCTTACCCGCACACCCTCATAACCTTCTCACTGATTCACACATGTGCAGCTGTATCTGCCGAGTGACAGAAGATCAATGTTCACGAACAAAAAATGGCCTCCCACCACTGATGGTTATAGCCTTGATACAGACGAGCACGGAGAGAAAGTTGGATGCTATTTCTGTAAGGGAGTGGATTTTAATCCTTCCACCTAGTACAGTAATGCACGTACCTCATTATGAATTTAAATCAGGGCTCACCATATGCTGTTACGTTTCTTGATTACTCTCCTGTCTCCATTTGTCTAAAAGTTTAATGATATGCTTGGGTTTTGTATGCCTTCTCCTTCAACAGCTGTAAAAGGACGTGTCAGAGATAAACTGTAAATTAAGCTGTTGGTTAAGTGATATAATTATATACAGTATATCCTATTAACATTTATATATTTATTAGTTACATACAGTACTTATTGTGTAACAGCAGTTCTGTCTCAACATCTTAAAATCAAATCTCATTCATATTAAAGGGTAAGACTGGTCAGCTTATGATGCTGTATTGGCATACCAACTTGGTTACAAATAATTGGGGAGAAAGGTAAAAAAAAAAGTAGCACCTGCTTGTAGTGGAAGGGGCCTACATGTACAGTAGAGGAACATTTTAGGGTTTAAATGAATATCACCAACATCAAATTAAGCTTAGAGGATGGAGGAGCTCCAACAATCCTTGGATTCACCGTCCTGCAGCTACATAGTTACTAATATGTGGGACCATTCTTTTTCACCATTGTCCATTTCGAATATTATTTAAAGCGAAGCATCAAGTAAGTTTTCTTCTGGCATGGATGCTATTTTAAACTACCGCTATTAGCTGGTATTAGTCAGCTAATTGTTTCAATCAAATGTCCCTAGTACGTCAAAAAAAAGGTATACTTCACATGGGCTGGTTTACACCAAACTTCTGTAAGGGTCATGAGGATAATGAGTTATTTTGCAACCAACAATAGCATAGCCAAACCAAACCAACTTCATCACACAGAGGTTCGTGGGTTGTAATTCCAAGTAGGTCAAATTTATATTTTTGGTCATCTTTGCAGCCAGCATACAGTAAATCTTGTGCCCTGGTCCATCCCAAACCAAGACGCTTGTTGTGCAAACTTCCTACTTGCCCACCAGTGGTTTACCAGATTCCTGAATACCTTAGTTCCTCTGTATTACATTTTCTGTCCTTAAGGCCACATATCTAAATGTCTGAATATATCACACAATACAATGCTTAACTATTTGAAATGATTCACATTAATGAGTTTTAATTAAAGGTGGGGTAGGTAATTTTGGAGAAACCAGCTCGAGTGCGCTAGAATTTGAAAATATACAGCCGAAAAAAATCTGCCACTTCCTTACAGAGCCCCTCCTCCAACACACACGAACGCGCACATGACCAATGAGGGCACGAGATAAGTTTGTGCACAGATGGAAGGCTGACAGGCAGGTAGGCCATCCAGTTATTTTAGCCGGGCCGGCTAAAATGATTGGTCGTGCTTTTTACAGTACTACGACTTCCACAGATGACATTTTCTATGGATTTTTTGTCAAAGCACTTAAGATATTCATTGCTATCGGGATGTTAAGAGCATTCCATGGAATATAACAAAAAGTGTATCTCGAGCCGGTTTCTCAAACTTACCTATCCCACCTTTAAGGTCAAAAATACAATAAAGTATACACTACTTTTGTACCGCATGTGCTACAGATATAGACTTACTGATTCAAGTTCAACAGGTTGGTGTTGAAGCCCCTTATCTCATTCAACATCACCTCATGTTGTCAGCCAGTGGAGAAATAAACAATCAGCCTTATTTAATTTAAAGTCTGATATAGGATGTTTATGTTGTATCCACTGTGATTACACGTCCTGCCCTCTCAGAGTTTGTTGGATGGAGGTAATCAGTCAGTCCATGATGGAGTTTCCTCAACTCTTTCATCCCTCTGACATCCTGCGATACCATTCAGGCCATTTTGACCAGTACTCCCTCGAGCATGAAAGTAAAGTATTTTCCATGTGTGAACCAGTGGAGTGAAACCTAACGGTTACACAGCAATCCAATGAGTTGCCAAGGGTCACACATCATCATCATCATCGTCATTCTGCCTCAGCCTCCTCTCACGTCCTCTCTGGCTCCCTCTTTGAGGAAGCCGACCCACTGGATCCTGACAAAGCATATACTGTGTCCAGATTTTCTTGAACGCTGTGCGGAATTTCTTGATGCGGAAAGCGTACACGATTGGGTTGACCGCAGAGTTGCCATGGGTTAAGATGATGGCGATGTAAATTAGGAACATGGGCTTATCACAGGCAGGGCAAAAGAGGGTGATGCAGTTGAGGATGTGAAGAGGGAGCCAGCTGACTGCAAAGAGGAACAGAACGAGTGCGAGCGACTTGGCTAGCTTCAGCTCCTTCCCAAAGTAGCGGCTAGGGTCTGTGTGGCTCGCTGTCACCTACAGAGAGATAAAGAAGAATATCATCAGCGAATACGTTTAACTTTACATTATCCAGTTCACAGTAAGTCTGTTTAAATACTATTTTAAGGTCCCCTATTATACTGTTTTTCATTACTTTATTATAGGTCTCAGATATATACAAAACATGTCTCTGAAGTGTTTGGCCTCGAAATACCAAACAGATCTAGCTGCGTTCTTCATCGACGCACGAGCCGAGTGATCCACCGCTAAGAGTTGTATATTTTTTGTTTTTGTTTCTGTTTCAGCCCTGTTTCTGATTCTCTGTCTTTTACTTTAGATGAAAATAAGGAGCCACTCCCCACGCCCCTCTGAGAGATATTTGGTTAAAAATAACACAATGGTGCTCTAGGAGGAGATTCAGGTGATAAGGTGGGGGGGGTTACCTTGGTTGGTTATTGGCTAATGGTTACACAACCCCAAAAATCGTTATGACATCATAAAGTGGCCAAAATCTGATCAGCTCATTTTCAGACAGGTTTTTATATAAATGGATCAGGACAAAAAGAGAGAGAATCTTTTTTCCTGAAACTTTTAGAATCTCTTTACACAGAGGGGACACATGTTTATGTACAATAGACATGAGTGGATTTTGCATAATAGGTGACCTTTAATCTGAAGACACAAGAAAAAATGAAGAGGACTACCTCACCTTCTTGTTGAGATGCTTGTGGATCATGTAAAAAATCTCGATGTAGATAGCGAGCATGAGGAGCAAAGGCGGCAGCACCCAGCCAAAGAAGTTGAAGTAGACCATGTAGTCCATGCTGATGACCGTCTCAAACTCACAGGTCACCAGGAGGTCATCAGTGAGCAGGGAGCCATTGTCACGGAGAAACTGCAGGTTATTCCAACCCAACATGGGCGTGAGGCCCACTATGATGGACACCAGCCAACACAGTAACACGGCCGTGCCAGCTCGACGAGGAGTCACCACCCGCTTGTAGCTATGGCGACAAGGGAGAAGATCTTGTTTTTAATTCAATCCAATAAAACATATTAATTACTACAAATTATTTACAACAATTCATTTTGTGAAGCTTATAGTGCTAGTGATACGAACTTGAGGCTGTTGTTCAAACCCTTTAAGTGAACTCTAACTTTAAATGAATCCACTCTTGCTAAAAAAGAAGCGGAAAAGGGTCTTAAAGTTTCATTTGTTAAGGAAAATTCTGTTATTTATTTTTCATTTAACCTTCAGTACATATTCATTAACTGTGTCAATGTAAGTCAAGTGGCTAACTTTCAACTGCAGTCCTTGGTGGAGATGTTTCTAAACCAGTTAGGCAATGGTTGATTCTTAGAGAATAAGAAAACAAGATACCATAAAGACATCAACATTCCTTCAAAAGTTGCATCTCTTTAACCACAACAAAACAGTGTCTATTAATTGCTCACCCATATTACTTTAAATTCTTGGGGAGAATTTGTTTTCCTCTCATATCTCCACAACTTATAAAGGATCAGAAAACTCTTTATAATTGTGGGTAAGTGTGGGATGCGTTTAACAACAAAACAATACTAAACCATTCATTTACAACTCTCAAATAATTATTGCAATATAACCCAAATCGTATTAATCCATCTGAATGTTGACTTCCCAAACATATCGATATTTGCTCAAACTTAGCATTTGAAACACAAACCCATAAACAGTCCAACACTGCCTTGCAAGTCCTGACAAGTAAAAATTACAATATGAGTTGCATGTGTTTTGGAAATAGTGAACATAAGATTAATCCATGTTTTAAAAATAATGTTCATTGTGGAGGCAGTGAGGAAAAACAATGTTTTCTTCAAGAATTTAAGGTCACACAGGGTGAGTGGATGAAGTGGTTCCTCAACACTGTAGTTTGTGGATTTGTTGGACTGACATATATTGTAGTATTCCAGTTACATTTTTTCTTTTTCATTCCAAGTCATTCATTATGTCTGGCAAGCATGCAACATAGTTTAAGTTTGATCTTCTTTCTCAGGAAATCACTAATTGACAAAGTCAAGTTGACACAAGCAACGCATCTCTTTTGTTCAAAAAACTGTGGGAGTTATTGGCGTTAACGCAACCACCTGCAGTTCTTTGTCATCGTAATAGGATGACCCTCATCCTGTCTCTCCCACACAAAGGTCTGCTATTGGACAGGTCTGTGAATCAGTCATTGTTGAACGGACATTATTTTGGTAGATCACGTTCCTCATTTTTGTAATTGAACCCTTATTTCTAAGAGTCAGAGCTTACTCAATCAGAAGGCATGACTCAATTCTGTTGCTCTCACTCTTTTGCACGAGGCACATTTCTCTTCCTATCAAGCCTGCTTCCTGCCTAACTTCACTAATGCTAACAAAGAAACCCACTGAAAAATGTGCCAGAGCCAAACTGTCATATTTTCCCCCTCATTTACTGTCTCTCAGTTGCCCTCGCCTTTCACTCTCTGTCACATAAAGCACACTCACTCAGGAGCTCAGCCAGGGTGAGTCAGACACAACACAGGACGTGTGAATGAATACTCAAAATGATTTGTAAAGAGAGTCAGGGATAGGTATTCCCATATGTGACGACAGGTTTTTATTTTGTTTGTATATAACTCTCTGTCGCTGCCTGTAAAGCTTGTCTGCCTACAGATCAGCTGTCTGTCTGCCATAAAAAATAATCACTTACTGCACACGGCTGTCCTCCATTTATCTATACCTTCCTGTGAGATTTTCATCCACGTCTACCACCTGCTAAATCAAATCCTCCAGCTAAGGACACTAGCAATGCTAGGGACATTTTAAAATGTCAGGCACACCACTCTTATCAAGAGAGTGTGCTTCCATACCACCTCCGCTATAAAAAGCAATCAGTGGCTGTTAAACTGTGTGCCAGTAGAGTCCCAGGGGAGGTTAGGGGAGGGGGACTACATTTCTGACACAATATAATTCAGCATGAGACAGTACATACTATACACTCTAAAATCTGATCATGACCAGATGCGAGTATATGGCCAAAATGAACCAGCAGTGAATGGAAATACATTTTCTCAGATTAAGTGACTCTATAAAAAGTGATTGCTTTGTTGGGAAGCACACTTTGCAATCCTGAGGTTGAGGACAATATGTATAAGTGTTACAATATATTTTTTACATGATACACATCTAAAACAAATGTCCAGTTTTGAATTGATAAACTGTGAGATATATCTATCCATTACCTCCTTCTGTCACTACATCCAATGTGTCATGTGAAGTGCTGAGAAACCCTGCAGGGAACTGATAATGAAAACAATCAAGCCAATAATATTGAGATCATACACTATACACAATAATCCCTGTTTAGTTTTGCTGCAACCTGTGTAAATGTCCTCTGAGTGATAGTTCAGCAGCGTGGGTGCATGTTTCTATGTGTGTGTTGGTTGCCAGCTTGAAAAATTACGCAATCCTTCAACCAGCCACCATTAGCCGATTGACCAATCATGCATCCTCTGCTAGATTCATTCCCCAATTAGCCAACTTGAAGTGGAAACTTGAGTTTTCAGTAAAATTATGGGCAAGGAAACAGAACTGATGATAACAGTATGATGAGCCCTGACTCACAATTTCGAAATGTCGAAGTTACCCTGAAACGGAGATGTCAGTTTACCATCAAGTTAGTGATTAACAAACCAAAAAAGATCATAAGGACTACATAAATCTAACATTGATGACCTCCACATGGTGCTTGTACATATTTAGCTCAGGCTGGAAAACCGCTGTTCCCCCATATATTTGAAATATGTCAGCTTTAAACATATCAAATGGGCCTGGATTAGCTTTGGATCCTGAGGATAATAATGTTGTTCCAATCTTGATATATATTTAAAATGTAAAATAATAAGTAAATAAAATCAGTGTTCTTTTTGTGCGACAAGATAATCCGATTTCATCCATCTATCAGTCTAACTGCCATCCCGGGTATTTATTAAATTACTGGAAAACTAGAAAAAAATATTCTAACCACAAAGCGTGTTTTATTCTTCGAGAGACATTTAATTTTCAAACTATCTGTGTTACTTAATTATATTTGGGGAAGAGGACAGTTAATATAAGATTAGTTTGATATATCTTTGGTTCCAGTCTACAGCTTTTATCTGGGATACAGTTTTGTGTTGGGTATATACACTTATACACACAAATAAAATGATTAATGAATACATTTTTAAATAAATTGAACTTGTGATAAAAACTCTGCCTTGAACACCATTCATGCCACTGACACACTGTCATTTGAGAGACGACAAACAGGTCAATGTACCCCTGTAATAAGGTAACTGTACAATAATTAAAATCATCAGACACACCTTTACACTAGGCAACATATTACAGTCTATTTCTGGCTGCAGCTGGAATGGAAACCTTGGATGGCCACTCTGCTGGGTGCCCTTGGTCCGAGCAGCGAACCAGACACAAAGGCTTCTGTAAATCAGACAATATATTGTAAACTAGAAGAATCGAGAAGAATTCACCTTTAGGCCTACCTCATGGGTATTTTGACTCTCAGATACCGGTCGATGGCGATGGCCAGGAGCGCTAGTATTGAACTTTGAGTGAGGACGAGCACTGTGCAGGCGACCAGCAGGCAACTGTAGAAGTGCGTCCGGAGTCCGATGCTGATGGTTATGGCGAGGGGGATGACAAGAGCCCCGACCGCAATGTCAGCCAAGGCCAGGGAGACGATGAAACAGAACGTGGTGTCTCTCAGAGACCGGTTAATACGCACAGCCCAGACCACCATCACGTTACCGATGACAGACGACAAGGCGATCACCACCTCCATCCCGATGTAGAGAGCTTTAGAGGAAGGCAGAGCCATGTTCACGGATGCTGCTGCCAGAGTGCACTCAGCGGAGAAACAACACGGCGAGGGAGTTCCCTGTGAGAGTTTGTGGGCACCGACTGAGACAGCCTGACTTAGGTTTGTTTTACATCCCGAGTCCGACAGAGGTAGAGGTAGTCTCTGCTGCTCTGAATTATTCCAGGTTCCGCTCCATGACATCGAGTTGCGCGCAAGACGCACAACTTGGTCTCCATGCGGTCGGAGGCGTCAATTCCAATAATGAAGTGCACCCTGCCGTCCTGCTAGAGGGGGTGGCTGGACGGGACCCAGGATCTCAAATGAGTCAAGATCCCAATGTCAGGCTATGTTTGAAGTATCTACTGGGAAACTGGTGGTTTATTTTACCGTTGAAACTGATTATAAGCTCATGCACCGGGGTTCTTTGATGGACAAGTTTACGCAAGTGTTTCTTTTCCTCAGGGTATTTTCTTTATTTTGGAGTTACAGGTTATATAAGCAAATGTCAACCAGGTAATTCCTATTATTTAACACACCTCTCATCTTCTTTCTGCATAGTCACATTGAGTGAATGAAAACTCGCCCCGTGGGAGTGGACTCAGTGAAAGGGAGTAAATCAAACATGAATTCATATGAGGTCATTGTCAGAGATGATCACTAACTTAGTGGACTGCAAATCAGAAGTAAAAAATCCACTAATTTAAAGCTTGGGGTTCCTAGTGTTAATTATAAAGAGGGTTAAACCGCCTTGTACACATATATATATATATCCCTGATTCTTTTTTATGTGACTGTAGGCTAAAGTGTGGGGGGGGGGAGCCTGTGAAGCTTTGACACTGTGGTGAGGATGTAAAGACAGCAATCTGAATAAAGACAAATTGCCAAATGCTTCGTGTCGAAGAGAGACCATAAAGCAATACTGGACAACATCAGCTTGTATCAGTGAGAAACAGCCGGACTCAGCTGCAAGACAGACACACAAACCTATATACATGCAAATGAGACTCATAAACAAGCTGCATAAAGGCATGATTTTGCATACAGATAGGAAGCATAAAGACATACTGTTAAGACAAGTATGCCTATCTGCTTTGCATTTTATTGCAAATGGGACCACAGTCTTTGCAAAACTTTATAGTCAAACTTCTTCACCCGGATGGCAAAAATACAGCCTCAACACTCGACCTGGTAGAGATGGAAAATGGTCCACGTCAAGGCCTCTGTCTGTCACCTTGACTACAGTGAAGGTCTGAGAATGATTTATGACTCTCATCTTTCACTTGTGTGAAACTCTTCTCTGCTTTCCATTGGGTCTGCAAGATTATTTCCACTCTATCCAAACCAGCGATGCTCGACTCATGGAAACCTGAACCAAATGCAGTTTTTATTTAAAAAAACATGTTCTTAGCAACCTCTAGCTGATGAGTTAATATTACAATTCTTTCCTGAGATGAAGGAAATTCCACAAAAAAACAAATGGGTAATCGTATGGATTTTTGAAGTAAGAATGTACACTTTTTGTTAAAATTGTAATCCCCTCATATTGTTTGTAAAGACCTGACATAATGTAGATATGTGTGTGCTTTAGTGATCTAGTTCTCTAATAAGGTCAGGCTATTGACATTTAGATGATGCAGTAAAGGAATGTTGGTCTTGCTTTAAATCATGTGATTATGATAATAAACGTTTTTTCTTTACTTCTGCACATTAATGAAGCCCTTTTTGGGGGTAATTAGTTTCCTAGTGTGATTTTTAATGAAGCTACTGATCTTGAAACATATAGGCCACATTACAGCTCTCATAGCACAACAGTACACTTTACAAAACATCATGTTGTTCATTAACAACAATAATGTCAATATGTCAAAAGATCAAGTGTCTGACAGGAGTGCTGTCTCACTTCGATACTGAATACACAATTATTTGACATTAACGAAAGTTTGAAAATATTGTATGAATCTATATTTGCTTTAATAATGGACAAATGTGTGAGGACAGGTAATAATCCCGTTTGGGCTTATACTTATGTTGTATTTACAGTCTATTGGTTGATTGGGTTTCACCATCTTTGTATTTCATTCAATTATGTGTGACAGGCTTTTCGATGCAGTTAAAATAACTCTGAATCATAGCGTAAGATTAAATCCAAGTGTTTCTTTGTAAATGAGCTGCTCCAGGTCTTCAGGGCGGCTTTTGGGTGGTCTGTCTCAGGTATCAGTGGTCAACATCGCTATGACTCTTCTACAGTACTGAGGTTTTATATGTAGATTGCTATGATTATCTTTGCTTATTATCTTGCTACAAAAGCATAAATATTGTCTTCCTGCCCTCACTCCTCATTGCGTCATCCCATTTCTGAAGAATACCAGTGTCGGACAAAGGGAGTGTGTGTGTGTGTGTGTGTGTGTGTGTGTGTGTGTGTGTGTGTGTGTGTGTGTGTGTGTGTGTGTGTGTGTGTGTGTGTGTGTGTGTGTGTGTGTGTGTGTGTGTGTGTGTGTGTGTGTGTGTGTGTGTGTGTGTGTGTGTGTGTGTGTGTGGGTGTGTGTGGGTGTGTGTGTGTGGGTGCACAAATGGTGAGATTGAACTTTTGTTCAAGGCATTACCTCTGCAGTGTTGTAATATCATATCTCTCTGGAACAACCACACGTTTATGATACATGACAACGATTTTTTTATGTGATTCAGCGAGCCTGTCTAAACAGCAGAAATCTCAAACTCTCTCATAAAGCATGCTCCTCTAAGGCACAGTTCCTCACTCAATGCCACACAACTCTTTTTATAAGAGGAGTCATGGGAGAAATACCAAGTTTTTCAAATAAATTATTTCCTCCCATAATGTTTGTGGAAGATTGCATGGGGAGTCCAAACAGAGACAGGGATCAGCAGGAGTGTCACGCAGTATCTGGACTGTACTTTAATTGAGACAGAATGTGACAAGGACTATTTTTCACAACAGCAAGAGACGGTGTGTTTAGAAAGGTTTAGTTAAGTCTTTTCCAGTGAGAGAGTAAAGTTGCAATGATACTTCAGTACAACAGATCTTTCTAAATGTTCCTACTTCATATAATTTACTTTGATTTAAGTCAAAGCAACTGGGCCATTGTCATGCAGAGGTCAAAAGAAACTGCAATGCACCATATCTGGACATTTAAAAGTGTAATATGTATTGTGGAATCATGTAGTTTGGAGTAGCATTACCCTACCAAACAAAGTGGGGCACTCATACTGTACACTGTTAACAGTACTACATAGAGGGTGATTTAATTGGACTGAAGCTGATATGAGTTGAATGCACTGTATGAAGGCCCAGCAGATCAATAAAATGAAACTAATAAAGGCAATATTGTGTAATAGCCTCATAACATTGCATTACTGAATCCGTAATACTGCGTTCCAATTTAAACTCATTACATTTATTCCACATGTTGCAATCAGACTTTTGTTTACGACTTAACTATTGCCCATGGGTTCAAAGGAGACAAAAACGATGGTGAAACAAGAACAAGAGTCCATTGTTAGTGCTGTTAATAATCAGACAAATCTATGCTCCTAAACTATTACTGTGCACTATGTGTATACAATATGCATACACCTGTCAGAACATCAAAAGAACTGATCAAAACTGAATCACCCAAATATTATCACCTTCTAATATAGTCTGAAGAGTTGCTTCACCCAGCACGGCCACCTGGTTATTTAAGGGAAATAGTATAAAAAGAGTATCATCTTTTCTTTGTAACTTGCTACAGTTAATTATTTGAAAGAGCCACGTTTTTAGCACCTATTTTCTATACACTGCACATCAGTAATTTATCTGAAAGCAACCATTCCTCTCTTGGGTTTCTAAGAAATGAACCTTCCCAGGCCTGCTGGGTGTATGCCAGCTTGTGTTGAGGTCCATTGTGTTGAAACTGTGCGGCAGCTGCTGAAGCATGATCATTTAGAGAGTGAACGTGCAGCTCCTCATCAACACTCTCCAGCCCTGCATCAATGAAGGGAATTGTTCAGACACATGACCAAGCCTTAAATTACGTGCACTTCATTTGCTGCAGGGTGCAACTAAGTATGAGAAACAACCGGTAATCTCAGAAACGACTAAAATTGGTAATAAGATTTCAAATAATTCTGTCTGTGAAGGTAAGATTAAATACAAACATCTAATTTGCCGCTCTGACCAGCAGCTGCTTATTGAGAATGCTGAGAAAGCTGCATTCATTTTTTGCAACGCTGAAGAACCGCAGCAAACAAATACTTCCTGTTTTCACTTTAGCATTTCACAATTGTGTTAACTGGTGTTAATCCACAGAGTCTCTTGAAACTATTCACAGTCAAACCCCTCCCACGAGACACTGAATCATCTTGACTGCATATTTTTCGGTGCTAAAAAGTATGAAGTGAATCTAATGCTCAGTTTCCTTTGAATGAAGCAACTTGCAATATAACCCTAATGTCAACAAAAAATGTAATATTAAAAAATATGTATTATTCTCCAACTCTTAATCACCCTGAAGTGCATACAATGAGAAGATATGAATGCTCTCTCTGGATGTTTGTGTGTGTGCATTTAAAAATATTTTTGGTTATGTGGATTTGATGCAATGCATTGTTTGAGGAACTGCTGGGATTTGGGAGTCAGACCCTGTTTTCTTTACATGTGATTTAATTAATTTTCATTATTTCAAGTAAGTTACAACATACAAATACATAAATGTTCAAAAGACAATTTGTTTCTCTCTTGTAAACTGCAGTAAGCAAGGGGCCAACATCAACATTGTATTTTGTGAGATTCAGCTGCATACTAGCATGGACTTTGTGAACATGAGAAATGTCCAGATGTGTTCTACATTAGCCTGTATGAGACACTTTTGCTAGATTTACTCAATCGCCCCAAAATGTACTAGGGCTCTTGCGACTGTCCAGTGGTGGACTGAGAGGCAGACATTAAAAATGATTAACCGTTGGATAAATTAATTACAAATAATGGTGTGTGAAGGTCCATTTCAACAGAGAAGCTTGGAAGCTTTTATATGGTACATAGTGATGAAGACATTTTAACACTTTACTCATGCCTCATAATTGTACAGGAAGACATTTAATTCAGTATAAAAAGTCACGTTGACTTACACTTTCGAACAATTGTTTTTATTGAACAGTATAACGTCAGAAGAGATGTTTTGCTTAAGTTTACTTCAATGTAAACACTTAATTAAGTGTTTACTTCAATGTAATCACTTAATTAAGTAGGCAGTATGCAGTGCATACGCATTGATGATGTAGTATGGAGAATATGTGAGTATGCACATTCTAACAGAACCCTTACCAACCTTTAAAAACAAAATTTTCCTGTGAGACTTGTTGCCTCTTCAGGCTTTGGCCAGCTCTCACTTTTCTGTAAAAACACTGTTTATTTAATGGGTAAAAGTTGAATGGAAAAGTGCCCAAAACTACAGATCAAACAC